TTATCCCTGGTTCACCACTCAAAGAGGAAGTCCATTAACTAATATATTTTCCTAATAGTAAAGGTAGTACCTTTAACCACTTGAAGGTAAGTAACTATAAAAATAATATTAGAATCCCAGGGGCTGAGTACATTTTGCTGGTCAGATTTAGACATCATAAAATGACTTCTCTGTGAAGAAAATCAGCAGCTATTTCTTAAATATTTTTCCCTTGTATTTTTGTCGTATGGTATTTGTAAGGATCAATAAATATAATGTGTTTTGTTGTGTCTCTTGTCATGCTGTCTGCAGAAAACATGCCATGTATTTGAAATAGTTTGAAGTTAAGAGATCTACTTGTAGTGCCTCTGTTTTAGATGGTTTCTTTTCATTGAGTCCGTATCTAATAACCAATAAATAAATAAATTGGAAATCTATTTAACTAAATTAATCAGAACACAGAGGAGTGCAGAACTATTCCTTAGAAGTAACAGAATTTAGCTTTATTTTTCATTTAGCACATAAGTCTGAAATAGGTGTTTAACCTTTAAATAGAACTAATAGTTTTCAGACTGAACATAATTGTAATTAATAAAATTGCCATCTTATATGAAAAGTCTAGATTAAGGAAAGAATGCTAAGAAGTGGCGAGAAGTAAACTCAGTATGTATTTAATGCCAAAAGAAAAGAAAATTTCTCAAATACTATGTATTCTTTCTGTGTTTAGTATTTTATATTCTTGAGTTGCTAATCTGTCACTTGCATGCACACCATGAAATGATGTTAGATAGAAGACAAAAAAAAATCCTTTGTATAAAGGATGTGTTGTCTTGAACTTTTAAATAAAAGCAAAGGCTGCACATCCCGGAAGGCTTGCAAGTTTTGTTTTCTGCTTCGTCATACTTTTCTGCTGATTCATCTACTGTGAATATTCTAAAAGCATGGCATAATGCTTGCATTCTACTACTGCAAGGATTTAATAGAGCTGTAATGATTGCTTTAAGCAAACATAAAAGAAAAACTGAATAAGGAATTATAGCTGCATGCTTTGGAGTTAGTCTGGTAAATTACAAATTGCAGTTTATACTTTGGAAAACATGAATCATTAAGCGAAAAATATCTGAAAACATGGATCAATAAGTGAAAAATATCCTTTGCATGTGCTTTTTTCATGATGAATTAGTTCATGATAAAACCCATCCTACAGGACATTATTAAACAGTGTATGTGATCTTTCTAAGATTTTTTTGGCAGTTGGTTATGCTAAATAGAAGCATAGATGTGAAAGGTGCAGTTCTCTTTGGAGCTAATGTGGATGCATTCATTTGTGAGTGAATCTGAGGTTGGTTTGCAGGACTTTGTCAGTGCTTTTACATACATCCCTTTCTCTCCATTCTTCTCCTTCCTCTTATAGCAGTCTTAGCTGTGGCAGTAGCTTACTTCATTTAGAGTAAGTAAACTGCTCTTATGGATTTGTAGTATATCCTTAGAATGAAAAAAATCCATATTTTTTCTCCCCTCAACAGAGACTTTGCCCTTTTCCTATTCCTATTCCTGTGTGTATTTCCTCTAATTTTTTTTTCCTGTTTCACTAAGGTGTGATTTTTTTTTTCCTGTGGTTGCTTTAAGATGCTTATCATTGGGTATGTATCTCTGAATAACCAGGTGCAGGAGCAATTTTTATTTCCAATCTGGATGACTTTGGGAATCTAGGTGACCCATTGTGTCAAATTAATCAGTTGTGTTGGTCAATTTCATCTTGTATTCAATTGCAAATTTCAAAGTATTTTTAGAGATTACTAGGACTCCATAGATACGTGATGTTTGCTCATACCAAGTTATTTCAAACTTTTGGATGAGTGCCAGTGCTCAAAAAAGGTTTTAACATTAGCTTTGAGTCTAGAAAAAAATCTTAGCACAGTTCTATTTGTATTAATAGTAATCCAAGCTGATAGTAGATGCAGACAGCCAAAGCCTCTTAGGCTGAACACAGTAATTCTGATGTTGTAGCAAAACCTTGGTGTACATCAAATGCATAAGAGAGATGATACTCTGATTGGAAAACATTTATGAGATGTGTTAATGAGCAGACCACCTTTTCATTCAGAAGAATAGTGGTTATTCTGGTCCTTTGTCTCCAAAAGAAAAAAAATTCATGTCTGAGAAGGAAGCCTTAAATAACAGGTCAAAACTCTACTGTGGTACTCTCCTTTTCCTTCATCTCCTGTCTTCTGAGGTGACTTTCCTGGGGTGCTGTGAAGTTTCACTTTCATGGGAAAAGGTAAATTGGTTCACTCTCAAATGAAAGTACATTTCAAATTAGCCTGTTTGGCAGTAATGTTAGGGGAGGGAAGGTATGAGGGGCAGGGAAGGTCTTTTGTTTCTTAAGTTCAGTCACTAGTACTTGTTAAGTAGGTGAACTTCAGAGCAATGTTTCTTTGCTAGTTTGCAGCTTTTAAATTGTGGCTCTAAATTTTTTTTAAATGTCAAAAAAGTATCCAAGAAGGAAAGGACTCACTGCTCAGCCCCAGTTTCTTTACTGTAAAGCAAAAGTAATCTGAAGTGTATGTTGGCATTTTAAGGTAAGGAAGGGAGGGAAGGGAGAAAAGGGAAGACAGGAAAGGGAAGGGAGGAAAGGAAGTAAGTTGGTTCCTGGTTTGGTACTTTAACTTAGTTAATTTACCAAGTTACAGTTTGGAGGGCAGCAGACCCTGACAACCTTTCAGGTCTTGATAACATGCCATGACAATAGTTAAAATGAAATACAATCTTCCATTTCCAGTCTGTGATTTCCCCCCAAAAATCTCAAAACCAGTATTTTAGGGGGAAGTACAAGTGTATTAATGAATAAGCAATGTGCAGAAACACAGCAGAAAGCCATGTTTAAGGTATTTGGTAGTGTTACTTCTGCACCTGAAGCTGGTTTAAAGACCCTTCTTTTGAAATGGTAGAATAAATATTCCATAGCTACATGTCCATTTGGAGTCTGGAGTAGCATGTTACTGTTTTTGCCATTATTGCTTTCAAATATGCTAATATTATTTTGTACTCTTTGATAAACAGCTTTGGGTTGACCAGAGAATAACTCCTAGAACTGAGATATTTTTTGCAGTTACAAAAGGAGCTAAGGAGCATCTCGTGAAAATGGTATTACCACCTTGCTGAAATGCCATGGATGTAATCTCTTGTTCATTTAGTCCTTTTTATTCAAAAAGCCAGGTCTGAATTTTTGTGGTAGGCAAATTTGGTGTTTTCTCTGACAAGCTGAATAAAAAGCCAGTCCTGGGAAGCAGAATATTCCTTGGCTATGAAGTCAGGTCCTGCCCTAACAAGGAGAATGACTTGTGTAATGCCACGCTTGTGGCAGGAGAGGGAAGACAGGCCCATAATGTGAGAGGAGCAGCAGTTTATCTGTGGGAATCAAAACAACAAGCAGTGTTTATAGTTTGCTGCCTCCAGTCCTTTCCTCTGTCATTGCTGCGTGGATGTTAAAACCCACCTAACAATGGGGCCAGTGTGGTTTATGTAACCTTGACTGGGCATGCCTTCTCTACACAAACTTCTGGGCAAGAATTTGTGCATCCTGATGGATTGACATGAGAAAAGGGGACTTCTCTCCTTTGCTGTAGTGCATCTGGGATTCAGCTGGATAGGTCATGGACAGAATTAAGATTTTTGCTGTTTAGTGCGTGGTAAGGGATTTTGTTCCAAAACACTTCAGGGCTGGAAAGCAGAATACAAAAAATTGGCAAGGGAGTTGGGGCCACCCATGTCTGGTGGAGCAGGAAATCAGATTCCTGTACGCTATTTCCCACTCACATTGCCCCCTTCCCCCTTAAAACTGCCTGAAAGAAGGAGCTGGACTCCCAGCAATGCCTGCACTGAATTGCATGCGGGAACAATCAAGGAGCACAGTGTGGTTTTTAGTGCTACATAGTGTTTCCAGATGATGATGAAGTTGCAGCCTAATTAAAGCACAGTCCTTCTGTCAGTATGTGATTGGGACGATTGGTCTTACTCAAATTCTAGTGTAATTTGACAGGTGTGTTATGTGCATGCCTGAATCAGTGAAAACTAAAGGGAAACACCAAACTAGCAATGAAAAGGAGTTGAAATAATGAATAATATTTCAATTTATTGTGTTTTGAACTTCACAAGTGGTTTTGGGATGTAATGAACTATAAATGTGTCTTGAAACCCCCTACATGATACTCACAAAGGAAGCTTTTTTGTTAAATCCATAGCGAAAACTGAGGAAAAAAAAGCACTATTGGTAATTTTTAAAAGTTTTATTTTTGGGGATCTAAGGTAAAACAGATCTGTTACTTTCCTTAATATTTTATAATTAAGGTATGAATTTAAGTTGTTCTTAGTTGCAGGATTACCTTCACTCTGCACATTATTAGCTTTTCTGTTTCAAGAGAGCAATTTTTGTATTTTATTTAATTGTAGGAACTATAGAAACTCGTGGTGTATTTTCAGTTGTGCTGTTTGCATTATAATACTCATGAAGCTATATGGTTTTAAAACTTCTGACTAGTTCCTGCTTTTCAAAATGTTGTATCTGTTAATGACTGCATTTTAGTAGCTTTGTGGTTATCTCAGTGGGATACTCCAAGTCTGGAATGTGTGCTTGTGGAGAGTGTGGCAAGAGTGGACTGTATACACATTGCTTCTAAATGTCCTGTGCATTAATTGTAATATCTGAATTAATTTTAGCTGTAATAATGCTGTAATTTTTTGTTGCCGTTCTTTGGTATTGTAGTCAAACTACACAGTATAGTTTCATATCATGCCTGTAAAAATAATTTAACAGACTGAGTTAAAATTTATATATGTAATCTCACATTCATTTAAAACTGGTATGGCATATGTGTAATGTGCTACCTACTGAACTAATGTCAAAACAGTGTACATTAATAATTAATTCCCTGCTATGGTTACTTGCTTTCATAATGAGATTTTAAAAGTTTAGAATGTAAAGAAGTACTTTTTCATTGGGTTTTTTTCCTCTTTAACAGGACACTACAAGTATAGAAAAAATGTCTAACTGTTGTGAAGACATGTAAGTTCTTTAAAATTCCTACATTACTGAAATGCTAAGGGAGTAGCTGTTTGTTAAGATGATTTTGCATGTTGCTGTATTCTGTACCTCCTATCTGTAGCAGCACCTCACTAATCTTTTAATAGTGCTTGTACACAAAATAGCTGCATCTTGTTCCCTTTCTTTCTCTACTCAAATCCAGTGGAACTATATTTTCTTTTCAAAAGTACAGATCAAAGGATACTTTCTGCAGTGTTTTGACATACATTTCATTAATGTTGAGGCCTCCTGTGCTTCAAAAGTTGCCTTTGTTTGATTGATGACACAGATAGTTTCTGTTCTCCAAAGTTAAGTCTCAACTGTGTGTTGTAATGAAATAAAAATTGTATTTGTGGTGCTTGGACACAATTCATCAGGGTCCAGTATTGGATGCCCAGCCAACCTACATTGTTGTAGCTGACTGAAGTGCACTGTGGGCATGCTGTCGTTCACTAATAATGCTGTCTTCTGTAGATCGAGGCCCCGAAAGCCATGGCAGCAGACCTTCTCAGAAGTTTTTGGCACTCACTGGAAGATCCTGTGGTTTATTCCCTTCAGGCAGCGGCAGCCACTGCGAGTTCCCTACCACTTTGCCAATCATGTCTAAACAGATGGATGGTGGGCACAGATGGGTCCTCCGTGCTGGAAGTGCATTACAGGTTTTATGATAATAGGACTATGACAGTCTTCAAGTCAATTAAAATCCAGTTGCAGGCATCACAGTGTGCCCCGGGCATTATTTTAGTTATGGTCTTGATTTTATTCTGAAATTGAGGCAAGTTAAACAATCAACTTCAGGCTTATTTACTTTCAAATTAGCTTTCCAAAGGGATTCCTGTTGTCTTCGAAGTTAATACCAAAAACAAACAATTGGAATGTAGTCTTCATGCAGTTTGATACTGGCTCATCGTCTTTTTTTCTTCCCTTTTATTTTTTTTTGTTCTTTCTATTTTTTTGTGTAGAAAGCACTGAAGTTAGATTTCTCACTAAGTGTCTTACTCTACCATGAAATTTTTTTTTAGGATTTTTATCAGTAGGTCTGTCTGAATAATAATAATGTCTTTTTTTCCTGCTGCATATGTTTAAAATTCTGTGTTATTCTGCCAGTTATTTATGATATGCAAAAGTAATCCTGCAGCACTGCACTATAAAAGGTAACACTGAGAGCTGAAGCAGAGTACTTCCTAAACCTATCTCACAGAGGTTTTGTAGAGACACACAAATGTGTGTGTTTACATAGAGAACAGCTTACAGTTATCTTCTGGCCTAGATATGATGTTGGTGAAAGTGTTCATGTCTTTATGTCAGTGAGAGGGATTAAATATTTCAGGGTAAACTATGCAGATACAAAGCATGTTTTCCCTAAATCCCAAGGATTTGAATCAGCAATAATCAATAAAGTAGTTGCATGGTGCAAATACTAGAATGATTACTTTTAAAAAATATAGATGTAGTTAGTATAATGTGTCATAAAGAGTATATTGTCAATGAAGTTAAAAATTTTATATTTACTTTTCTTTAGTCTTGATTAACTGGAATTGGTCTGTTTGTATATTTGAAATAAAAGTAATTAAAATATTTGTACATAAATATAGATTTGCTATTAACATGAACAGTGAAGTATATAAACATATTTAATAGGGTAATATGTTGATGTTGATAGCTTGTTTTCCCTTTTAAGTATGGAAGTTGTTAACCAAAGAAAGCGTCTTTTAGATCTGGTAAAATGATAATTATTTCCAAAGTACCAGCTCAGTCTTCTGTATCTGAAAAAGTTTTGCATTTACTTTAGCCCTCTGTGTCTATACAAATATTAACTTCAGATGACTGTGAAAACTACTGTGGATTTCTAGGAGAAATTCACAGCTCAGTGTTTCCAGTTATGCTGCTTACTGTGTTTTTTGAATAGTCTGACAGGACTAGGATCCCCCTTAAATAACAGCCATGCAGCAGGACACAATAAAAGACACAAAGTCAGGATTTTACACATGTAGGTTGTGCATAAAGTAAAAGTTACTTCAAAAAACAAGGGTAAGATTTTTCATGACTGCTGTTTGCAAAAAATTTTTAGATCAACTTTCTTAAAGTCTTAGTACTGTTAGTGCCAATGTTAGGTGTCCCTTTGTTGAATTAACAGATTTTGATCTGCTGTAAGTTCCAAGAATTGCATCTTAAAAACCACTTGAACTTTAAACTTTTGTAAGCGTCTAACATTTGATCCAACTTTATTTTTCTTGTCCTATTAAAAATAGAAGTTAGTGCCAATGTTAGGTGTCCCTTTATTGAATTAACAGATTTTGATCTAACTGCTCTAAGTTCCAAGAATTGCATCTTAAAAATCACTTGAACTTTAAACTTTTGTAAACGTCTAACATTTGATCCAACTTTATTTTTCTTGTCCTATTAAAAATAGATGCAGTGTTTTATTAATTTAAATTTCAAGCCTAATGTTCAGCTATTTTCCTTTTCTTTTTTTTCTCATGCCTTGTGTAGTGAGGTTAGACTTTCTCTCAAGTGGTATAGGCTTATTGGCAGCAATACTTAAGGAAAAAGAAGCTCGAGGAAATGGATGAAAAGACTGAAGCAGTGCTTGAAATTGAAGGGAATCCATACATAATAAAGCAATGGCTCTGTTATTTTCTTTTCCTTCCCCTCACTGTTTTGGTGTCTGGAATATACAGGGAAATAATATTTCATTTTCCATGCCAATATTTAAATGTTTCATGAGCAAAACATAGTTCGAAGTTTTTAATGCTAATCAGTTTTCAGAGCAGATTGTACAGTTCTGAACCTTATTCAGAAAGAGAACCAAGAATATAACTATTTTTGGTATGTTTATCATGGGGGATATAATTGTATGTTTAGCTTCCCAGTATTCTGTTTCAGGCTGGAATAACAGTTATACTTTCCAGCAAGCAGTGAGCATCAAAATCTTGCCTGATTCTCAAACAAAAATGCTAATTTCACAAATTCATGTTCTCAGATGTTTCCATGTTGTTTGATTTCCTTTTAAATCTACTTTTTCTCAGTCTCCTGCTCATCATAACTGATAATATTCATCATAATTGGTGATATCATAATTGATAGGCATCAATTGGCAACATAGTTAAGACTGCTAGTTAATTTTTGTCCCTTTTCTAGGTATTTGGGGGACAAAGGGGAGTCCTGACATTTTAGGAGGTACTAAACTTTATTCTTTGAATAAGAGGCATCTAAAATGGCAAAAGTAGTAATTTTTTTCTTAATTCAGCTGAAGCACCCTATCATGTTATTAGTTTCTCTAAGTAATGTTTCTGAAACTAATTTCCAGAATGAGTTGTTCTGTCAGGAAAAATCAGACTTTTATCAAGCAATTTAAAATCCTCCAGACCTTGAAATTCTTGAATCCTTTGACCATTGCTTTCTTTCCCTCCTTAGGGAAAGAAAGTCTTCCTTAGGATTCTTTCTTTTAGTAGAAACTGCATTTTAAAGTTTGATTAGTGTTTGTCATTTTTATGCATTAAAAATAATCTTATAGACAGTGTTACTAAGTTTCATCCTAATATAATATCAGAACAACATGTACTTTATTGAGAAAAGTGAATATTATCTTCTGACTTGGCAATATTTGATTTTCTGAAAGGCAGCTTGAAGAGAACTTGAAGAACCAATGAACTCCTCCCTGAAAAAAATTTGAAAGTAGCTGGTTTATTTGCAGTGTGGGATCACTTCTGGTAGGACCAAAAAATGTTAACTTGCTATCTTCTCATAATCACAGATTTGAGATTTCACTTGAAAAATGCTGATGTCTAAAATAAAAGACAATGTCTTAAATAATATCTGTGAATCTGTCCTCTGATCTGTTGCTGTGAAGGAGAAGTTTCATCACACAGCTGGTCTAGTAGTTCAGGGGCACAATAATTTTCACTCTTGAGGAGGAGTTATGAGTCTTGCATTTTCATATACATGGAATAGGTTTTCTATGCATCTGTCTTTATTAATATACTTAACTTTTAAAATATGTTCTGAGCTGTCCTTCAGATATTCCTGAGAATTATTTTGATTAAATGGTTTATAAATACATGGCTAATAAAACACCAAGTGGAATGTCATGTATCCTGGTTTAACACCAGCCAGCAATTAAGTACTCACGGCCACTCAGTCATTTCCCCCCAGCAGGATGAGGGGAAGAATTGAAAGAGTAAAAATGTGAAGCTCTTGGGTCAAGATAAAGACAATCTATAGGTTTGATAGGTAAACTAAAAGCCATACTAGCAAGCAAAGCAAAATAAAGAATTAATTTACTGCTTCCCATGGTCAGGTAGGTGTTCAGGCAGCTGTAGGAAAGCAGGGCTGCACTGCATGTGACAGTGACTGGAGAAGACAAACCGTCAGTCCAAACATTCGTGTGTTCCACCTTCCCCCAGCTCTGTTTGATGAGCATGACACCATGTGCTATGGAATATCACTGGAGTCACTGGGGTCAGCTGTCCCCTCCCAGCTCCTTGTGCACCCCCAGCCTCCTTGATGGGTAAGGAGCAAAAAAGGCCCTGTCACTGTGTTTCCTTCTGGCTCAGCTGAAAGGAAAGCATACCTGTGCTATCAACACTCTTCCCAGCACAAATCCAAAACACAGCCCTGCATTAGCTAACCTGAAGAAAATTATCTCATCCCAAACCAGCTGATCATGACAAATCACATTGTTGTTTACATTCAGAATCCAGGATATTTCATTGTTTATGTTACCATGTTTGGTTGATGAGAAGCTCCACATGACCTGGTAACGTGTGCTTTCAGCACAGCAAACCACCTATACCCTGCGCTGCATCATAGGAAGTGCAGCAAAAAGGTTGAGGGAAGTGATTTTCTCCCACTAAGGAGTTAATCTGATTCTAAATTAGAAGTAACCTATTCTAAATTAGTTGAAGTATTAGGATCTCAAAAGTAACAGTGTGATGCTGAATGGTGCTAGGAACTGCTTTTGGGAAGAACAGTCCATACTTTGGTATAATTATACATTGTCCATACTTAGGTAACATACTACATGACTGAATACTTCAGGAAACATTCCTCAAAAGATTTTTATACTACTTTCTTAGTGGCTGAGTATTTGCCCTTAGGAGGTGTTGAAATACTTGTATCTGTGGATTGCATAAGGCCTAGGATTTCAGTTCTGCTGAAATTATCCAGTGGCATCTTGTGTCTTGGCCAGGCTATGGCAGAGTGGTTAAAGCCTCTTGTAGTAATAAGGGCCATCTAAGTATCAACTGTAGACCTGTAAGAATAACTTACATTTACACAAGTTTTCAAGTTAGAAAATAGAAAATTTAATTTCTAATATGTGTGCACTTCTGGGTATTTAAATGCACATTACCAGGACTCATATCTGTATATCAGAGTAATCTGCAGACAGAAAATTAACATCTATCTCTTTAACAGGCAGAAAAATAGTACTGATTTTTGTAAACTAGCATTCCGAATTTTGTAGCTGAAATGTGGGCATGTGATTGAGTTTTCTTCATTTGTTCTTATATCTCTATTCATTTATTCATTTGTTCAAGTTTGATCTTGACTGTTTTCGAGTAATGCTGAATGAAGTTCCTACTGGAGTTGAAAATTATGAGGTCTAGCTCATAATTCTAACTGGTTATGCCTGAATGGTAATGTACAAGATGAATGTCTGAATAATATCAGAACAGGATGGCTTACTCTGGTATTCTTTTAATCAAATCTGAAAATGGATGACTATGTTCAGCTGATAAGCAATGTATTTTTTTAAGTTTATGTTTGTCAATTTCATTCATGTAATGTTTCTGTGAAATTTTTTAAAATTTATTAAAATTATGGTTTATTTTTTCATTCCTACTGAGAATTTTTGTCCTGTATTTTTATGAAATCTTATTTTTAAATAAAAAAATAAAAGTTTTTTCTTTTCACTGAATTTAATTTACATTGATTTAAAATTGTGAGTATTGTTTACTAATATTTTTCAGATCTGATTTCTAATATTTCTAATGATATAATTTATGAATTATAAGTTATAAATTGCTCTCACTGCTGTATATTTTTTATGGTAAGAAGTAAAAAAGCTACAATCCCAAATGACTGTTTTGAAAAAATGAACTGTGAAAAATTGCTGAATAGTTAGTGAGGTACTTACTATCTGACCTTTGCTGGTTGCTTTTAAGAGAAAAGCTGAATGTTGATGGAAATATTGAAAACTTTCTCTGTTAGAAGTAGTCTACCAGCTAATGTTGATATGCAACACTAGTTACAGCATTAGTTAATTTTCTTGCCTAGTTACAGCCAGAGTAGGAACCTCTGATGAAGTTGTCAACTAAGATTTATATAGTAATTCTGTAATTTTCAAATTACAGAAATAGAGTTTGGGATTTTTTAAATATTTTAATATTTGGCTTGTTGGTTTGTTTGTTTGTTTTTAATGTATTAGATTGTTTATCCTTAGAGCAGTTTTTGAGAGAGACAAATGAATCTGAATCATCAGCTCTTCTGCTTTGTGTACATGGGAATTTATGTCAGATTTTGATGCAGGAAAAATTCACATGCTTTGGTCTATTTCAGATGAGATACTGGCTTTAAAGGTGTAAAAAGAAGTGCAGCAGTGGCCACAGGAAAAAAATTTAGAGAGCAATAAAACAAAAGCTGCTGGGTGTGGTATAACCAGTAGTCTCAGCTTTAGAAGTACAGGGAAGGTTTTAGACACCTGGGAAGATCACTGCAAGACTAGTAAACCCAAGGAAAAACAAACAGTGGTTATGTCTGCAAGGAAATTATTAGCTTAGCTGAACTGTGGTACGTCATTAATCAGGAGGCACAAACTACTTGGTGATGGTTTGTGGTACGGGCCTTGCATCTTCTGTTTCAACCCAAGAACCGGATTCTGCTAATAACAGTAATAAAAATCACTTCCGT